TATTTCCGTTTGCAGGTGGTTGCCACAAACTTGGGGGGTATATCCTTCAACCACTCAACCCCGGAATGGAAGGGACGGGACCACCCAACATCAAAACACCAGGTAGCCCCCCCCCCCCCCGCTTTAAACAGTTTCCCCGTGCCTCTGCCTCCATCTCCATATTTCCATCTCCCCGTCGCTGTCGGTCTGCCTGCCTATCTGGCTGTCTCTCTACCCCTTCCGCGCATCGAGAAGGCGCACAAGACCATGGGGCCTTTAAGCTGGTATTAGTGAATGCATAGGGTTTCCCGAGCAGGAGGCATCCCTCGGGCAAAATGGGGAAACTGTGCAGTACCCTCCGCAGGGTTTTTCGTATGATGTAAACATGTTGGTTGATGTTGGATAGTGTTGGATAAATATTAAAAATTACGATCGGGGGAAGTTGGGTTAGGGTTGGGGTGAGAGAATAGGGTCTGCGTGCCCCCTCCCTGTTCTGTTTCCTCATGAACTTATTCATCTCGCGAATGCGGTCCAAACTAATTTTCTCGCGAATGCGGTCCAAGCTGCGGGTTCCGGTTACAACCCTAGGAATCTTTTCCTAGTCTAGCAAACAAGAAGAAGCCCACAAATAGCGGGGTCACTCGACCTTTGGGTCATTCGATCTTTCAAATGGGCCACATCTCTCCAATGTCCATCGAGGATGATCCGCTATTTTCCCGAGTCTCCACATTTCTCTTCCCCCCCCCCGCCCCCCCCGGTGTTTGCCATCGGGGTAGGGTTTTCGTCGCTTGGCAACGACATTGTAAAACAAGCCCCCCCCTTCTTGCTTCGTCGCTTGGCAGCGATGTTGTAAAACAAGCCGATCACTTCGTGAGCTCGGCAACCAGGTTACCGCTTTTTTTTTTTGCCTTTGTTTTTTTGTTGCGGTACCCATGAATGGTGGTCGAGTAGATCATGTTGTGCGGGGTGGAGAACCCTCACTCCGCGCAACGGGGGATGATCGCACCACGTTGTGTTAAAATGGTCAAGCATACTCGAGGCAGTTACACAGTGCTTACAACTGTCTCTGGAAGTGAAAGCACCAAAAAACAAATTAAGTCATACGCAGCTGTCATCCGTACGCAAGGAAGTAAGCACAAGATGCCGAACACCCTTAGCAGGATGCAGCGCACCCTTCATGCGACTCGCCAAATACCTCACGGCGCTTCGCGCTTGGTGATGTGAGAGCCTGGTCCGGTGAGAACCCGGCGTGCTCCGTCTCGGCTTTGTAGGGATGCGAGGTCAATGGTCTAACGACTACGGCATGCACGACTATGAGTACCCCCCCCCCCCCC